GTGAATTTGCTCTGTAAATCTTCACCCAAATCAAAATTAAAAAAAAAAAAAGAAAGTCTTCCACTTTAACCCAATAAGAAAAAAAAAAAAAAAAAAAGATTACAGCAAAGAAAACCCAATGGGGCAGTCCTATTCTGTCACACTGGGTTGCTATGATTTAGAAATTGATTTTATGGTACCTAACCAGAATAACTCTAAAATAAAAAGTATGTATGTCAAAAAATTCAAAACTTCTAATACCTCTCCATTTCAGTCACGGTGAAAGCCAAAGTTCTTCAGTCTCCAACACTTCACAGACCTCATCTCCATTTATTCTCTTGCTCAATCTCTGCTCAAGATACACTAGGCCCCTTCCTGTTCCTGGATCTTGCCAAGTAGGCATGCTCCCTTTGACTGATTCTTTCTTCTATCTGGGATGCTCCTTCTTCAGATATTCATATCACTAATTGCCTCGCCTCTAATTTTTCGCTCAGTCTCACCTTCTCAATAAGGTATACCCTGATCACATTATTTAACATTTTGAACTACACCACCACAACTGTCAGTACTCTCGATCCCTCTTATTATACTTTGATTTTCTTGCCATAGCATTTATCACCTTGCAACATAATTTATTTATTAAGTTTGTTGTTTATTGTTTGTTTCTCGTCTGTAATATGTTAGTTTCACAAGGAAAGGATTTAAAAAATGTTTCTTTTGTCTTTATTCTGATTATTCACACATGTATTCTAGGCATCTACTTAAACACCAGCTCTTGCCAAACAGTAAGGCACCTGGCACATCTTTGCTGAATGAAGTTTGATTTACAGATTTCAGAAGGTGTGACAATCAAACTGAATAAAGTAAAAATTATCATTAGGCACATAACTCTTGAATCTTGAAGCAACTATACTGTCTCTTTTTTTACTGCACACTAACTCTTCTCTCTTGCACAGCTACAAAAAATAAAAAAATACCATGCATCCTATGAAAAGTATGAGCTTATTTCCGTTAAAAAAAATAAAAGTCTGTGAATGTGTGTGTATACATAGAAACACTCTGGAGAGCTATTAGAAAAAGGTTAACATACTCCTGGAGGTATGTTTCCCCTCCTCTTTTCTCCCCAGTACTGTCTGATAGTTTTTACAAGGATTGTGCATGTAACGTTCTTTAAAAGAGAGATGCATTTAATTATGAAAGGAGATAAAAATAAACTTACTACTGAAAATGCTGAACATATCGGTTCCCTTTTAGTTAAACTGAGATCTCTGAAAGCAAGAAATGATTCTCTTCCCAACTCCTGTTGTTGTTGTTATGTGCCGTGGAGTGGCACTCGACTCATAGTGACCCCTCCTTGGGTTTCTGAGGCGGTATCACTAGGGAAGTAGATTGCCCAACTTCCCTTCCGAGGAGTGGCTGGTGGGTTTGAACCGCCAGCCTTCTGGTTAGCAGTCAAGTGCCTTAGGCACTAGGCTACCAGAGCTCCCAAACATCAAAGTTTACCAAGGCCCTGGGATTTGAACCCAGGATCTCCTGTTTACTAGACAGGCACTTTGACCAACTAAGCCACAGAGCCAACTATCCCAACTCCTAGTACCTAACAAGGTAGCCCTCATAACTGCCTCCTGGCAAGAATACGCAGAAGCAGGGTTGGATAGGTAGTGACCAAAAAATATAGTAGCAATAGCAGCTACTGGTAAAATGGTAACTATTTTAACTGCGAACTCAGCACACTTTACCTTCTAAAATTCAGCAATGTTAAAAGACAAATCTGTAAGTTCGTTAACAATAAATAAAATTGACTTACACTTTCTCAATGGGAAGCAGAAGAATAAAGCACAGGCACATAAGATTCTGAAACACACCTCAATTTCCTTTCCCAGGCTGTCTGCCCCTGGGCCCAAAGGACCAGGACAAACCTTGCGACCTCGAGCTCTTCCGCTGGAAAACTCGACCATGCCAATGGCTTTTTAGGAGCCAACCGGACAGGATCCGGACACAGGCGCAGTAGTCTACATTTTGGCCCATCGACTTCCGTAGAGATACCACCTCGGAAACCCAAGGAGGGGTCGCTATGAGTCAGACCCGACTTGATAGCATGTTTTTTTTTTTTCAATCACGCAAATTAAGAACAGAACGGAAAAAAGCCAGTCGGCACCTGCACAAAGTTCTCAGATAAGTACTCGGGGAGAAATGCAAAACTTTGGGCTGCTTCTCACTCACCAGTGCCTCTGAAGAAGTCGATATGCTAAATGTTCAGTCGATCTTTCTTCAGACTGAACTTCCTTACAGAGGGGAAGCTGACAGAGGAACTACCAGGCGCGTCACTCAAACCTTGACGTAGCAAAGTTGGCTATCTCGAAGGGAGGCCCTTTGTTCTGACCGAATCCTTCTCGTGGCAGAAAAGTCACAGAGCGAGCGCGCAGGAGCGTCTCTGTCACGTGAAGGCATCCCGGAAGTGCGACAGACCCTCTCCTGTTTGGTTGGAGTTGAACCATAAGGGAGGTCCCGTAATTATGGCGAAATCAGGGCTGGGGCTAGACCCGGGAACCACAGCTGCGTGCGCTGTGATAAAACGGGCTGTGGAACTAGATTCGGAGTCCAGGTATCCGCAAGCTCTGGTTTGTTACCAAGAGGGCATTGATCTGCTCCTGCAAGTTTTGAAAGGTAAGCAGTGAGCCAGGGAGGGAGGACAAAAGGAAAAATTCCTGCTGTGTGTGAGGCGGAATAAGACTTAAAAGCACTTCTTTCTCGCTCGAGGAAGCAAAGATAGAAGGTGGAATGTTCTGCTAGACAATTGGGGCCGTTCTTTTATATATCTAGTAAATGGAAGTCATTGGTAAACTGATAACCGAAAGATCAGTCGTTCGAACTCACCAGTTCCTCCGCGGGAGAAAGATGTGGCAGTCTGTATCTGTAAAGATTTATAGCCTTGGAAACCCTATGGAGCAGGTCTGTTCTGTCCTATAGGGTCTTTATGAGTTGGAATCGGCTCAACGTCAGTGGGTTTGGTTTGGTTATTCTAGATTTAAAAAGACTTAAGAGACAACAAAACTGCAGGATAGGATCTGTGTTTGGAGGAACATAAACTTTTTGGCAGTATGAATATCGATTGTCGTTGTTAGGTGCCGTGGAGTCGCCTGTGCCTCAGCATACAACAGAAGGCCTTGGCGCCATCCTCACAATCCTTGCTATACCTGAGCCCATTGTTGCAGCCACTGTGTTAATCCATCTCATTGAGGTTCTTCCTCATTTTCGCTGACCCTCCACTTCACCAAGCATGATATCCTTTTCCAGGGAATGTTTTCTTCTGACAACATGACCAAAGTTGTTGTTGTTGTTGTTAAGTGCCGTT